AATATTTAGGTGGATTATTAAGCAACATTTTTTCCATTATTTTTGCTAACTCTCCTTTAGAAAGTCTTTTTTGGGACTGTTCTAGCATTTTTTCCAAAGTTTTTAGCAAAGACTTCACCCCTATTCCTTTTAGAGCAGAAGCATAAATTATTGGAACATACTTCAACGATTTTAGACGGTTTTTTAACTCCTCCATTAGCAACTTTCGGTCCGCTACTAAATCGCATTTATTGATAATAATAATAAGTGGTTTATTGTGTTTTTCACCTAAATTTATTATCTGCAATATCTGCTTAGTAAGAGGAAGGGTAGCATCAACTACTGCCCAGGCCAAATCGCAATTTCTTCACACGCCTTCTTTAAGTTTTTGCTCTTTGGTAATTCCGGCAGTGTCAACTAACTCAAACTCGACTTTTTTTCAATTTCACTGACTAACTACTGGTTCTTGGGTAGTACCAGCAATGGGAGTAGCAAGCGAACGATTTTCTCTTAACAAATAATTCATTAAAGTTGACTTTCCTGAATTAGGCGGTCCGAAAATGGTTAGACCCAAATTTTTGTCCTTAACTACCTTTTCACTATCAGGAGAAGGTATAAAGTTAATCACCATCTCCATTAATTCTTCGAAATTAATTTCCTCAAGAACCCCTACGAAAAGAAAACGATTTAGTTTTAAGACGTGGTGAGAATGTATATCCTCCTCTGCTTCTAAACCTTTATCATTGAACAACAAAATCTGCGGAATTTTACTTCTCTTCAAATACTTGCTGAGCAAAAGAGTTTTTTTCTCTACTTTGTCAACTATTCAAAAAATTAAATCACTCCTTTTTAGTAATTCCTCGGTTTGTTTTCTTATTTCTTCTTCAATTTCAGTTTTGGGAGACAGGATAAAAGCGGGAGTATCTACTAATTTATAAGTATTATTTTTAATGCTAATCAATTCTTCAACATAGTTAACCAGAGGAGAAGACTTTTGTTTAGAAAAAGTTGAGTATTTTTTTGTTATTTGGCGGAAAAAAGTAGTTTTACCAACTCCCTTTTGTCCGATTATTGTAATTATCGGAAAAGATTTCCCTTTCATAAATTGTTTTTTCTATTTATTTTCTCCCAGGAATTAATTAAAATGATTTCTGGATAAGCATTCTGCAAAGTTCCAAATTGAAACAATCCAATTTTAAAAATGCCTTTAACTGATCGGTGAGAGCCAAGAAAAAGTTGAAGGGGATGGAGTATAATTTGAATTTTGTAAGAAGGCTAAAATTTTTCTTTTACTTCTCTTTTTCTAACTTTGTTTTTTTGTTGGATTTTTTTGTTTAACTGTTTTTCTCTTTAATTTTCTTTTTTTCTCATTACCTAAAAAAAGTGTGATAAGAAAGAAAAGGCGAGAAATAATAGTAGACAATTAATCAGAACAGAATATTAGTAGAGTTTCTAAACCGAACAGAATCAAAATAATTCTGGTAAGGCAAGGAAAGAGAGAAAGAAAGAAGGTCTAGTCCCAAAAGGCCAGTTCTTATATAAAGTTTCTTATCTGTTAAAACAGAACGAAACGATTAGAGAGCGAAGACTTTCGAATAAAATGAGAAAGGCGGAGTGATTTATAAGACTTGCGGGTAATTAGACCCACCTTGGGGAAAGGTGATTTTGTTGAAAAAAAAAGGTCCTGTTCTTTACCCCATTAATTTTTCAGTAAATATCGAAATAAGACTCGACTCTGAATAATTATTTTTTTGAAAAAGAATGGAATAGAGAAGATGAAAATTTTTTAAAAATGGGGTCCGAAAAAGACCCCGCCTCCGTATAATTGGCGTTGTCTAACGTTAATTTTACTTAATCTAACCCTTCTCTTAAAAGTTATATCTACTATATATCCAAAGAGGGAAGGGGGAATCATAATTACCCTTCGAATTCCTTTTCGCTCATTGGTTATGGAGTGGGTGAAAAGGATAAAAGGGTTTAGACAAAATTTGCTCCTAGGTTTTAGCCCGTGAAAAACGAATGTGCATGAAAGCGTTCTAATCGCAACGTCTGAGTTTAGACTAGGCAGTAATTAACTAAAAAACGAAGTAAGCGATTTTAGTCCTAAGATTTTAGTTTTCTAGCATTTTAGGATTGGACTAAAAAAAGGTTAGGGTATTCCTTGATTTACCCAAAAATAATTTTTAATTATGATAGATATAAATGAATATATAAAAAAAAATACAATTAATAAAGAAACAAAACATAATAAAAATAGTGAAGAATGAAACAAATGAATAGGAGTTTTTAAGAACGAATTAGATGCTACTGATAAGACTAATTTTGAAAAAACAGCAAAAGAAATAACTGACCAAACCAAAGAAAGAGATGAAGCAGAAGTAAAATACAAAGAAATCTATAAGTTAGGAGAATGAAATGATAATTATGATGATATAAAAAAAGAAAACTTTTTAGGTGATCGTACAAACAAATATGACTGATGAAACAAAACAAAAACTTATTACCCTGCTACTTATGAAAATAACCTTTACAAAGGAAAAGTTAATGGAGTAGAAGTTGAAGTTACTGAACAAGAATTAATGCTCTTGTTTACAAGATTTTTAAAAGTCTGTGAAAAAATAGATGATAGCAAGTTCAAAACTGCCTTAACTTCAATAACTGGTATTGATGAAATAAGCAGTATTAAAAACTGAGGAAAGGATGCTTTAAAAAGCAACTTAATACCCGATAAAGATATTAAAGGTAATGAAAATACCGACAAAGGTAAACCTGCTAATTTTCAAGGCAAAAAAAAAAAAAAAAATGATGGAACTTACGAAACTGGATTAAACCGAGTAGAATATACTTGGAATTACCAATATGTGGATGAAGCAAGTATTAAAAAAGGTGAACCGGATGGAACTAAATTTACTTTTGAAAGTGCTTATAGTAATACTTTCGGAGATGATGTTTTAAAGGTATTGAGTTTGTTGGCAGAATTAATTGACGATAAAGGCAAGTTCAAAACTGCCTTATTAACTGAATTAAATAAAGATGCTAACAAAGAATGAGACAAAGATATTGAGAAGGACATAGAAGTTAAGATACTTCCTAAAGGTGAGGAATTAACTACTGCGCAATTAGAGGAGTATGGAATTAAAGTAGCTGATCCTAGCAAAACAACACTTTACTTATCCGAAAATGATATTAGTAAAGTAAAGAAAATAACGGTTAAAGATTTTAAAGAATGGGTGGAGTTATTAATTAGTTTCTTACCTGGCGATGATATTCGTAAAAAGTTTGCTGGTGGGTTAAATAATGATATTTACACCGAATTATTAACTAGTGATGATGGTCTGGGAATTAATACCCATTCTGCCCACTGAGAATTACCTATAACTGATTTGGACAAAACCGAATTGTTTAGTGAATGACTTAAAAAAGTAAACAGTTCCAGCAAAAGTATCGCCGAACTAAAAAAGGAAGTTGCTGATAAAACTAGTGAAATTCAAAAGAGACAAAAGGAATTAAATGGTTATACTGATAAAATAATTGCCAAAAAAAAGAAGTTTTTAACCGATAACAAGTTTGATAAGTTAGATAAGGTTAGTGATACTGAAGACAATCGCAAGACTGAACAAGAAATAAAGGATTTAATCGATACTTGTTATTACATTAAATATTTACAAAACGATGGCGATGCTACTCAACCCTTTAAATGAGCTGATGCTGCCGAGAATACTAAATATCAGAATGCTTTAAATGCTCTTGAATTAAGGGATAGACAAATATGAGATAGATTAGAAACTGGCGAAAGTGATGATGGTGGGAAGCCAAATCCTCAAATACTCGGTTTTATTTTGTCAGGAAAGAAAACTATTTGGGATATTAATAGTCATTATTTCCATGATAGAACTGATGTTAGCAAAGGAATTGCCCTTATTAAAAAATTTTGATGACATAGTGAACACAGTGCCTTTTCAGCATTCGATGAACTGTTTACTTGATATGATAAAAAGATTAAATTACCTAGTGGATATAAAGAAATTTGAGATGCTATTAAGAAAGAATTAAATATGCCGGATGAAAATAATAACGAAACCTTACAAGATTGACAAACTACATTAAAAGCACTAAACAAAGATTTAGATGATACTGTTATTACTGATAACTTTAAAACTAAATGGGAAGCTATTGGAACTGCAACCAAGAAACCATTTGAAAAACGAACTGATTTAGAGACTTACCTAAAAGGGTTAATGGATAAACCTAATACTCAAGAAGCAAAAATTAAAGATGATTTTGAAAATGTCTTAAAAGCTACTGATAGCAAAACAGCAGGAACTAAGATTAATAACTTAAAAGTTTTAATGGCTGAGGAACCGAAAAAGGTTATCCAAATAATAGAGAAATGAAAACTAGATAAGTTGAAAGATGATGAAAATGATGCTAAAAGTAAAGTCCAATTTAAGAGACAGTTAGCCGTTGCCAAAGGTAAGAAAACTTCGGATACTGTTAAAGAGTTGACCGATACTGAATTATTGGAAGCATTATACGAATTAAAAGAAGGAACTTTATCGGTTGACACCACTAAGAAATATAATGCCGATCTAACTGAAATAACTACTGATGGAGGTAATGGGGGCGGTAATCAAAATCAAGTTCCAGGAACTCCTTGATATTTATGAGGAGGTGGAATGGTTTGGTGAGGTTCAGCCTTAGCGATATTAGGAACTTTAGCAACTATTTACTGAAAACAAATCACTGACTGATGAAATGGTCCAGTTGAGGGGGAAGAAGAAGTAGTAGAAACTGAAACTAATGATAAAGAAACTGATGAATAGTTGATTTTCTAGAGAGGAGCCTAAAAACTCCTCTCCATCCTTTACTTGCCATTCCCTAACTTGCACTTTTTCTGCTAAAAGTAAAGAAGAATTAGAAAAACACGAGGCTGAACACGAAAAGGATTCAGAAAAAGGTGATGATTGCGACTAATAAATGAGAAAACATTTCAAAAAACCAATTTCTACTAGAGAAAGTTACCAGAGAAAAAGAAAACTAAGAAAAAATGAACCAAGAACTTTTTAAAAATGGCTGTTGAACTTGTAAAAGAGCTTGGGAAGATCCGCAAGAAAAATATGTCTGTCCTAAATTAGAACAGCATTGGCAAGATTATAATCAGTTGGAAAGAAATGGTTGGTAAGGGTTTATTTTACATAAACTTAGGTTTTTGAATGCTCTTGCCTAAGACTTTATTATGTCGTTCAAAAGTTAGAAATTAAAAAGAGCAGACTTTTATATCCTCCAAATTCTGGAAACACACAGGTTTGGGGGTGTTCCTAATATGAAAAGTGCAAGGAACTAAGACTATAGGACTTGTGCTTTTCGCCAATATGGGAGGCTAGTTCTCATTCGCGACTAGTCTCCCACCGAGTAGAGGCACCTCTGCCTATCCAGTTTGTGACTCTGGTTAAAAAGTCACGGCACCAATAAGAAAAAGTAATGAATAATCCCTACCGAGCCTACTGAGAAAAAGCCCAAGAGCAAAGTCTAAAACTAGCCCAATATTATACTCCTGAATGTTTAGTGGAGTTATGTATCGAACTTTTGCAGCCAAAAGGCGAATTATTTGACCCCTGCTGTGGTTTAGGAAGTTTTTTACTCAAAGCCAAAAGTAAAGATGAAACGCTAAGAATTAGTGGGAATGATATTGCCAAAGACTTAGGGGAATTACCTTTTGAATTCACTAATTCTGACTATCTAAATAGTGAAGATAAACAATTTGACTATATAATCGCTAATATTCCTTTTAACCTTAAAAAAACCCATTGCCAATTAGTAGATGAAAATTATTGCTGAATAGAGAAAATTATTAAAAACACAAGGAAAAAGGCTCTAATAATCTTACCAAGTGGAGTAAATTCGGGCTTAAATAAGAAAATCACTGAAAAAAGAATAGAGATTATAAATAGTGGAGTCCTAGAACTAGTTTGTCAATTACCCGGTCATTTATTTAACAAAACTTCTATTGCTCCTTGTTTATGATTAATAAATAAGGAAAAAACTAATAAAGATATTTGCTTTCTATACTCAGAAAGATTTAGTACCTTGAAAAACAAAAAAAGAACTCTAACTGAGGGAAATATAATGCAAATATGTGACAAAAGTAATTGAAGTTTAGGAACTTTTGAAAAAATAAAAGGATGTGATTATCTTTTGCTAGTCGGTATTTATGATAGCAAAGATGATGAACCAAAAAAAACTCCGGAAGAAATAAAACAAGAGATCAAAAGTTTAGCCAAGGAAATTAGGGAAAGGATTGAGAATCAAATAGAAATATGAAATAATAGTTTAAAAGACCTTTTAATCAAACTAGAGAAAGATGGAGAATTATTTTAACATGATAGAAATAACAAGTCAAAAGTTTTTTTTAAAAATAGGTGATTTACTATTTGCGAAATATAAAGACAGTCAAATTAAAATCAAAGACCATTTTAAATTAGTGCGAGGTAAAACCCCACCCACTAAAAATCCCGAATATTATGAAAATGGAACTCTGTTTTGGTTAGATGGTGGGAGCCTAAATGGGGTTTATTTTCTTACTGATGAAGCCAAACCTAGCAAATTTATTACTGAAAAAGCGAAAGTAGAATGTCGACTTCCTGTTTTAGAACCTAATAGCATTATATTTTCTAATGTTAACACTTACCCTAACAAAATTTGCTTAGTTAAAACTTCTAAACCAACCTTTTTTAGCAATCATATTTGACAACTAATCGCCTCTAATGATTATGAAACTAGTTGCCTATTTTTTTCTTTACGGAAAGTTAATTTCAAAACTGTTTCAACTGGAACTTGCTTTGAAGAAGTTCAAGCTCCTCTTTTTATGAATCTGAAAATAAACTGAGTTTCTGACCCTGAAAAACAGAAAGTATTTTTAAAAATTTTAGAACTATGTACCAAATAAATAGAAATAATTACCATTTAAAACCTAAACCCTCTAATATTCAAACTCCCCCAGAATTAAGTCAGTTTATTTCCTTGATGGGAAATTTACTGAGTAATTATCGAATCCAGACCACGATAATTAATCCTAAAGATTTAGGAGTTAAACAAAATAGACCAAGGATATTTATCTATGGTAAGAAACTAGAGTATGAAAGAAAATAACGAATTTAGAGTATTAGACCCAGTAAAAATTTCTATGGTCGGATTAGATATGTTTTTGAAAAAATATTCTTTGGAAACAAACTTAACTCTTGTTGAAAGGTTGGAAAAAATGAAATTATGAAGTGATGATGAAAAAACTCCCGAGAGTGATAGAAAGGATATGAAATCAATAATAGAAAAATTGAACAAGATAATGACTTATGATTTGTGTCATAAAGAAATTGATTGAGATAAGAAAGTTGGTGATACATGCAAAAATGCAGATGGATTATACACTATTGAACCATCAATAAGTGCTAGACACCGGTCTTGTCATAAAAAAGCCGAAATAAAAGAAAATGAATAAAGAAATAAAAACCCTATACGAACAATATAAAAACTCCCCCAAAAAACTCAAAATAATCTGTGATTGGGATGAAGTAATACAGTCTTTTGAGCCTTATGCTTTATGGAAAATTAATAAAGAGGAAGTCAAAAAATGAAATGGAGAAACTTCGGATTTTTCTAAATATTTTAAAGATTTTTGAAAAGATGCTACATTTATGAGATATTCATTATTTGGTTCTGGATTAATGTTGTCTGACAAGAAATTAGAAGAAAGATATAGCGAAATCAAAAACTCTCCTAACTTCTACCAAGAAGCGCCCTTTTTAACTATTGCTGAGGATTTACTGAAACTAATAAAAGAGGATAGAGTGGAACAGTTAATCTTTTTATCTGCTTACGATAAGAGGAAATTTCCAAAGGGAGATGATAGAAAATATGAAATATTCCGTGAAACCTTTGCCAAACTTGCTAAAAATTGGAGAGTGCTTGACACTAGCAAAGCCTGAAATAATGGAATTGTAGGAGGAGAACTTAATCGTGAAAATGGATATTTAGACAGAATTAATTTACAACTAATCCCTTTTGATAGTGAAACCCAAGGGCAAACCAAAGCCGACTGAATTAAACAAAATGCCTCTGATTTTGATATTGTGATTGATGATAATCCTTATATTTGTAAGGACATATTAAGAAGTTTGGGAGGAGTTGGTATACCTTTTTCAGAAATCAAAGTCATCGCCCCTTATTATCCAGCAGTAGAAAATCAGCATGACAAGAATGTTTTATTAGTTAAAAATGAAGTGAGTGATTTGAAGAAAGATAATTTTTCTGAAAAAATTTAAGTAAAAATATCATTATATAGTATATGACTGAAAAGAAAGACCAAGAAGTTAGTAATAGTAATAACGAAGTTGATTCTGAAAAAGTCAAAAGATTTAAAGACGTTAAGGAATCTGATGACTGAAAACAAGCTCATTTGGCTGATAAAAAAGAAGTAGAGCAGCACAGGGATACTTGAAAAGCAAAATATTACGAGGCGGATAAAAAAAATATTTCATTAGCTAAAAAAAATCTTAAATTAATGGAAGAGATAGAAGCGATGGAGAAAGATGATTTATATCGAAGGAAAGTTCTCGGTCAAGAAGAAATAGATGAGAAGGAAAAAAAAGAGAAGCAAAAACGACTGTCTAAATTTTTAAGTAGAATAAAATAATAATATATTGCTTTTCGAGGCAAAACACAACTGGAGTTATTTTCCCAGAGTTGGGAAAAGGTGGCTTAACTCCATTAACTCATCTTTTCTTTACTCTGAAAAAATAGAAAAATGAGTAACGAAAATATTGTATATGAACTATTACAAAATGCTTCAACTGCGGAAAAAGTGTTAGATTCTATAAAGGTAAATAATTTTTGGATTAAAGAATACATGACTGATAATGCGGTAATTAATGGTGACAATGCTGAATATTATTCTTCTAATCCCGCGGCAGGAGTAAAATATAAAAGTCCTCGAAAAGAAGGAGGAATGAAATGAGATGATGACAAGGTCTATAAATGCTCTTTACCAGTTTTAATTGATAAACTTTTTCAAGCCAAGATTACCAAGGATATGTTAAGAATTGCCACTGGTGATCCTAGCAAGGCAGAAATGATTGCTGCTTTACAAGCTAATAATTTGAAAAAAAAATTGGATATGGAAATAATGGATGAGTGTGTTAAGGTGGTTTGCAAAAAGGAAAATTTTGCTGATGATGCCTATTTAGAAATGGAAGAAGAAGATTTTAAAGATCCTGGTAAATTTTTAAAACAAATATTTATATTTGGCGAAGCAATGAAGCATCCGACTGACAAATACAATAAGGGTTTTAAAAAAAAAGGTTCTAGTGATTATGAAAGAACTATCTATGCTTCAGGAAGTCTAAAAAACCAAGTAATAATTCTAAATACTGAGAAAAAAACTGATTTAAGGATAGAAGGCTCCAAAACTTACAATTATTCTTTAGTGGATTTAGAAGGAGAATTTAAGGAAGTTTATGATGCTATTTTACCTGATGGTTGAGGGGCATTAATAATGAGCGAAGAAAGTTTTGCCCTTAATTGACAAATTGAACCGAGATTGATTGTTCAAGCTCATGAAAATGATCCGTTGACTAGTAAGGTTTCCTTACCCGGATTCGTAGTAGGAGGACCAGTTTCTTTTGCCAATATGGCAGCAATTGTTTGCAAAAAAGGAAAAACTTCTTCCAAGAAAAATCTCCTCATTGATTTTGTTTCTATTTCCGACAAAAAAAAAACCATGACCAAAAGCCAAGCCGAAGAGTGAAATAATCTTGGTTTCAGTTTTGCCCAAGTTAAAGACTGGATTTCTGTAGGTCTAGAATGTGGAGATGCTAAATTCGCCAATTGGATGGTTAAGGTTAAAAGTAAATCAGAAACTAAGTTTAAAGAGTATTTAGACCCAACTTGGTGTTTGAATAATTTAGGCAAAAGTAACCACAAAAATTTAGAGGAATTAAAAACAGAAGCCGGAAGTTTATAAAATAGAAATTTGGCATAAAAAAGTGCCTTAATTTAAACTATGACCGATTTCACTAACATCTATTTAACAAAATTACCCCAAATCCCCGATTTAAAACTTTCAACACAGTGAAATTCAGTCCCTTCTTATGTCTGAGTATTAGCAGAATTAATTGATTATTACTTGGGAATTTCTAATTTAGAAGGAGTTGGTTGATTATTCGATAATTGATTGCGAATAGAAAAAGAATTGATTACACACGGAAAAGTCGCAGCTGTTTACTACGGAACGAAATTTTTAATAGCCAACATAAATAATGTAGAAAGTAATTTTGAAGGAGAAATAACCAAACTAGAACTTACTTTTCTCGGTGATGATAAAATTAGAGATTTTTCAAATAAACAAGAAAGGGTAGTCATTTTTAGAAACAATGTTTTACAAAAGGGAGATTTTGCTAATTTAGTCAACGAAACTAAAAAAATGGATATGTATTTAGAGTTAATAAGACATAGTTTAGAAATGACTAAGGATACTTTGACAGTTAAAACTAAAGGCAAACTTTCAACAAAGGCAGAGCAAAGTATTGTAGCAGGTTTGGCGAAAGGCAAAGTGGTTAATATTTATTACGAGGATAAAAGAACTAAACAACCAGTTGACCCTAATTCTTACTCTTATGAATTAAAGGGAGGAGATTGAAAACAAAGAGAATTTTATTGAAAAGAATACGATAGAGTTTTGGAAGCGATTTATCATAAATATAAGATCCGCCATATTGATTCAGCCGATAAATTTTCTAGAACTAACAATCCCGAAGTTTATTCTAATTTAGCAAGTTATTGGGCTTGGGAAAAAGAAAGAGGAAAAGAACGAGTAGTAGGAATTAGAGAATTTATGGAAAAGTTTCCAGAAGAAGGTCAATATAGTTTGAAATATGGCTTTATTTTTTCTTCTCAGCAAGCAGAAGAGCAAGAAAAAAAGAAAAATCCAGAAAAAGAGAAAAGATCTAAGGTTAAAGAGAAAATTAAATAAAATTATAATATAAAATTGTGGAGGTTTCCTCTAAGACAAAACACAACTGGAGTTATTTTCCCAGAGTCGGGAAAAGATGTTTTCAACTCCAATTGTTCGGTCTTTTCCTGCTCTTGAAAAATAGAGCATGAATATTGATCTTAGAACTTTTAAAGCCGAATTAGAGAAGTTTAAAAAAACCCAAAACGCTGAGCAAAAATCAGCCAATCAAGCCTATTTTAAACAATTAATTAAGGCTGAACTGGCTAAATTACTTAAAAATCAGCCTCAAGGAGTAGATAAAGCCCAAATCATCCCTCTTTTAGAAGAAAATCTTAAAAGTGAAAAAAACAAGCAAATAATTATTGCTGTTGTTAAAGAACTGTTAGGAAAGAATAATTGAAAGGGCGACAATTATACTGGTGGTTGAAACGAAACCCAAGACACTGCCAATCTTAATAAACTTTTTGATCCTCTTAAAAAAGAGGTTGAAAATAAACTAGCCGAAGCCAGTAATCAAATTAAAACTAAACTTCAAACTGTCGATACTAAATTAGCCGAAGTTGATACTAATATTGAACAAAAACTCGGTGGACCAGAAAAGTTTCGAGACGGAGTTTATAAATCTGAAGAAGAAATTATTGCAGTTTCTTTAAAAGCCCTGGAAAACAAAGGTCCATTATTAAGAAAACTCCGTAATATTATCGGAGAAAAAGAATTTAATCCCGAAGAACCAGGCGAAGGAGTTCCGCCAGGAAGGGAAGGAATGCGGGTAGACCCTGAAGCAATCGCTCTTCAACAAGCGGAGCAAAAAGCTAGAATTGATGCTATTGAGAGGTGAAGAGAATTTTACGAAGACCACGGTATTGTCGAGGCTAACGAAAAATTATTCTGATCCGACAAATATGGTTCTAATGTAAAAACCGCGGAAGGAGTTTATAAGGACGCTATCTTAAAAATGGCTGAAATAGTCGGTGAAGATAAACCTTTAAATGATTTAGAAAAAAACCGCATTAGCAAAGCCACTACTCCGGAAAAAATTAACCAAGTTTTAGTCGATATTCCTCAACAAAGAAGGATAAAAGAATGAAATAACTTCTTCGAAAAACATGACCTTTTAAACAATATTGATCCTACTTGACAAGAGAACTGAAAAAAGAGTAATTTAAGTATTAAGATCGCTAAACTTATTTACAATAATGGCTGATATAATAGCCCTAATGGTTTAATTGGTGATGATAAAAAAATTGAAACTTATACTACTGAAACTGTAGTAAAAGGCCAAAGTTATAAAAAATCTATCCAAAAAATAGACCCTTTAAAGCATTTAGCCCCCGAGGTAAAAAAAGCCCATGATTTCATAGTTAAAAGAATAGATTTAGAAACTGTTTTAGATAATTTTCCTAAGGATGAAGAAATCGGTAAAGAAATTTACGATGAAAAAACTGTTCCTGACACTATCAATTATGAAGAGTTAAGAGGGTTAAGAGATAAGAAAATTAAAGAACTCTTTAAACAGTATTTTCAAGGTCAAAATCCTACTAAATTAGATGATAAGGCTATCGAATTGTGAAGAACTTCTCCTACCGGACTTCCAAATACCGGCAAAGACCAAAGAATTGCTTATGATAATGGTTGAACTAGTCCGGCTGAAATTAAAGAGGCTAAAACCACTTACCAAGGAATTGCTGATATTGAAGTCTTAAAAGTAAAAAAGCAAGATATTGATAATGAAATTGTTAAAGTTAATAACTTAGTTAAGCAAATCAATTCTTATCAATTTTTAAGAGATTTAGATAAAGAACAAGTCAATATTGATAAACAGTTTGAGGAATTACAGAGAAATTTATTACCTCCTAAAAAAGATGAAGAAATCAAAACTGCCGTAGAAAAACAACGCCAAAACCTCTGATATTCTTTAACTGACCCTAATGATGGTGGTTTACCGGAAGAAACTTTAAAAAAACTAGCGGCTAACTTACAAAATACTTGAAATGTGCCGAATTATGAACCGATGACTGTTAAAAGACTGAATGATTTCATTGCGGCGGATAAAGATGTTCAAGAATTAGGACTTTTTAAAGAAGATGCTAAATGAGAAGATTTAAATACTCCGAATGCTCAACTTTACGGAACTAATGATAAAGGTCAGCCTCATTCCTGATTATCTAAACAAGGAGGTTACGAATTACCCAAAGAAAAAACAACTGCTGAAGATAAACTTCACATTTCTCAAAAAGGGGCTTATTTATTAGACTTTTTCTATAAAAAAAGTAAAGATGCCAAAGGTTATCCCTTTAACCCCGACAAATTAACCGACCCTAATATCCATTTTTGCCAAATCGGCACTAAAATGGTTAAGAAGTTTGTTAAAGGAGGCATGATGAGCAAAGGCAAATGGGTTGAAGAAAACATTGAAACCATTGGCGGAGATAAAGGCAATGCTGGACATTTAGCCATCGGCACTGGTATCGGAAAAACCACTAAACTTATCAATTGTCTAGTAAAAGGGGGTGAACGCCATATTATCCTCGTCTGCCCTACTACTGGTCTAGTTGACAGTGCCTTAAAACACCATTCTAGTTGACTCCAAGATTGAGGCTGTGCTTATCATGGCGGAGCCAAAGGGGAAGTCGAAATGGCTTATTGTTTGCGCGGAAAACCGACTGAACGAGCTAGTGAAGAAGAAATTAAAGAAGGTAAACATGACCCCGAAATGAAATCGCTTTACAAATCCCACGGAGGCTATCCAGTTGCTAAAAATGACCTTGCTTACTGATATAATGCTAACACGGGGAAATTAGAAGGTAAAGAGGAGGGCAAAAAAGGGCTTTCGATAATGTATTTCGGTGATTTACTCGGATTTGCTGCTCGCAACCTCTTCGTGGAAAGTGGTGGGATTAATAGTTGAAGTGATGAAAATTTAAAGCAAAAGGTTAAAGAAAAACAAATTCCTAAAGATGATACCATTATCGTTTTCGATGAAGCCCATTTTAATGATGCAGGTTATCAGGCTCTCCAATTCGAAATGATTAAAGCGGGTTATAAATGCCTAAGAATGAGTGCTACCTTTGCTGGTGCGGAATTCTCCACCACTTCCTCTTACCCAATGAAACGAGTATTTAGCGGTAAATTAGACCCTAATATGCCAGCGGGCTTAATGATTTATCAAAATGCCGAACAAGTGGAAAAACTGGAAACTTTGCGAGGAGTTCCTACCGGTAGCATCAAATGAATAAATGAAGAGACTGGTTTGCCTATTCCGATTGAAGTTAAATTAGAAGAAAGAATTCAAACAGGAACTACCTGAATATTCGGTAAAAACCTCGAATTAAGTGATGAACAAATCCGAGCCTTAGGTAATAATGTCTCCTATATGGTTTATACTCCTGAATTTGACGAGAACTGTGAAGATATTTCGCACGGTCGCTCCAAAGGATCCGCCGACAATGTGGATGGGAGTAAAGAAATGGGATATACCCCTGGTATCGATACCGTAATTTCCTTGGGAGCCACCGAAACTACTAATTTAGGCAAATACTTTACTTATTCCGAACCTAATCTTAACTTCACTCAAATCAGTTCTTTAGTGCAACAAATGGGACGGGTTTCGCGAATTAAGTATGGATTAGCGATTACTCTAACCAAAGAATGCGGTGAAATTGACTTATCCGATAATGTCTCGGCTGCCATGGTTAAAGCTACTTTTAATGGCGATACTAAACAAATTAAAGAAAAGAAATATGAACAAATTTACGACATTGACATTTTAAGAGGAGCCTTGGCTTATCCAGACCCCAAAACTTTCGGTAAAGCCCCTGAAGAAATCCTTATGGGTCTCAAAATTACCAAAGATCAACAATCTAAAAAAGAGAAATTAACTCAATTAGTTTGACGACAAGATAACGAGGTTGATAAAACCGAAGCCATGGCCAAACCTTGATATGCTTTTATGGATAAAGAAATTAATCCCAGTGAAAAACTATGAAATCGCTATCTAGGTAAATCCGACAAAATCACTATGGGCGAAGAAGTAGCCAAGAACTTGCTAAAAGAAATGATTTCTAATTTCATTACCCAAGATAAAAATTATCCACAAGGACTAAACTTAAAAAACCAAGCCAAGTTTATCGGCTCAGTGTTTGGTGAAAGGTTAGAAGCTGGTAAAAAGGATGAAGTAGCCAAAGAAACCCGCACAGTCTTAAATGGTTTAGTGGAAGCCAAAGTTAATGAAGCCTCAGCCAAAGATTATGATGAAACTAATAAAAGAAGTAAAAATCCTAACACTATTAAGAAATTAGCGGGATTATACAATTTAACCAATGCTAAAATTGATTACCAAAAGATGAAAAATAGTGAAGGGAAGATGGTATGAACTTTATTAATGACAGCATAAAATTATGAATCAAATAATTCAAAAAGAAATAAATAGACGCATAAAATTAGCCCAAGCCCATTTAGCCCAAATCGGCAACTCGCAAACTTTCCGCAAAGAGATTGAAGCGACTGAAAAACTATCTAAAACAGAAGGAATTGAAGCCTATTGGAAACTCCAGGACAAACTCAGCAGAGAACTAGCTAATAAACTAATCGATTATAAAGGTAGCAGTGAAGCCACTGCCTTCTGTTTAAGATTAGCCGATATTTTAAACGGCATAGAAACTCCGGAAGAAAAGTGATACCGAATTAGAGAAAATATTAAGGAATTCTTAAAATCTGATGAAGATATCTCTAAATCAGAAAATTTAAGAAAATTAGCCGAGGAAGCCATTGCTGAAGATGCTATGGATAGTTATTATAATTTGCTGAAAGAGTTTAGAAAGAACTACGATGAATTAGTAACCCTTAAAGGCAGTAAAGAAAAAGCCAATAATTTCTTAGAATTAATGACTCACGCTGTTTATGATCGGCGATGAGAAAAAGAAAAATAACCCCAACCCAAATTTAACCAATATGAATAATAAAAATTTAAAAGCACAATTAAAAACCTTGTTTCAAGGTAATGAAACTCAATTTATCGAAACTCTTAATGAAGTATTTGCTGAAGAGTGATTAAAGGATGAAGACGAAGAATTTTTAATGGTCGGTGTTTTTAACTCGGACCTAATTACCAGTTTAAAAACTAAAATCAGTCAAGAAATTGGGGAAAAATACACCAAAAGCCCTTCCAAATTTTCTACGCTAATCAATGCTTGAATTGCGGTAGAAATCATTGAAAAAGGAACTGCTCAAAAAGAAAGTTCTCAAAATTTGAGTAACCTTAAAGAATTAGTGAAGAATTTTGACCGAGAATACGGAGAAAACTGATAATTTTAAAAGAAATATGAACGACGAAAATAACCACTATCGCTACTGTTTTCAATGCGATAAATGACTAAAAAAAGAGGAAGTTAATGTAATTGATTGAGGACCTCAACCCGGGGGAGAGATGGGCAAATGCTGGCATTGTTCTTATTGCCGCAAACAATTGGGCGATGATAGCCAAATCCAAATATTTCGCTGTAAGAACCACCCTGACGAAATTTTGAAAGTTTGAGGGGTAATTGATGGAGAAAACCAAGAAAAGATTTTTTATACTGAATGCCCTCAAAAAAAGCAAGAGTCTAGTTTTCGAGACTTTATACCTAAACCCTTGCTAATCGGAGGAATAATTACAACCTCACTAGCATTATTATCTTTAATAATTATGCTATTAAAAAAAAGAAAGAAATAATATGGATAATACATGTATTAAAGCGATTATAGCCTTAACAATAGGTTATTTAGGATTGGTAGGCATGATTTTGGGATACAAAGTCAAATTTGATAAAAAGGGTGCTCAATTAGAAAAAAACGATCAAAAAGGAGAAAAGGACCATCAAGAAAATAAGAAAGAAATAAGTGAATTAAAAAAAGACAAAAGCGAATTAAAAGACCTGGTTATTAAATTACAAGAAAGAATAATTAACTTTGAAAAGGAAGGAGTTTACTCCGAGCTTTCCCAAAAGAGTAAACCAGTTAATTCCGGTGTGCCAACTCCTCCTCCACCTCCCAAAAAATCCGAACCTAAAAAATCTAATCAAAAAGGGGGTTGAAATGAAATTCATGAAGCCATTAAAAAGCGAAGGAAGGATTTAGGAGAAGAGTAATCCTGAAAAAAACTGAATAAATAATCCATATTAAAATAATGGATTATTATTTTCCCTAAAATATAAATATGAATAAAGAAATTCTAATCAGTAAAATTGATGAAATTAGAAAATCAACTTTCAAATTATTAGATATCAAAGAATTAATAAAAGAAGGTGGTTCATTAGATAAAGATCTTGATATCGCCAGTAGTTTAGAAGCCAAGTGTTGAGAAATCATCAAAGAACTTCATAATATTACTAGTACAAACCAAAATAATTAAACAATATGAAAACTTTAGAAGACAAAATAATTAATTTAGAAAAAAATAACGAATCAATAATACATAATCAACAAATAATTATTAATTCCTTAGAGCAAATAAAAAAACATATTTGAAATGATGAGGGAGTTTTAGAAGAACCAACCCAAGAAAGTGCCGAACATAATAATAAGTATTTGGAAGAGCAAGCGGTTAATTACATTCATAATGTAGTTATCCCTGACTTGGCTAAAAAAGAGGCTGAAAAGGGCGATATGGTCGCTGAAGGGGTCTGAATAGAATGAGCTTGCAGAGGATTAGTAGAAACTTTAAAAACCGCGGCTTTAAGATATGTCGGCAAAGCCTTGGAAGAATTAAAAGCCCAAGCTATTCCTTTTGCTGTCGAAGCAGCTGATTGAGCCTTGGACCAATTGGAAAATTTCATAGTTAGCAAGTATGAAAAGGCTTCTGAGAAAGAAAAAGAGCAATTTAAAGATAAAATCCAAGAGAAATTCCCCAATAGTAGGTTATTAAAAAAGTTATAACATTAACAATATAAAGCATATATAACATAGGAAATTATAAAAAAGAATGGCCGAAAATAATCAAGACTTAACCAAAGTTTATGAGTTAATTCAGAAAAATAACGAAGAAGCCCATAAAGAAAACCGCTGAAACCGAGTTACTAATTTGGTTCAAACTGGTTTAACTCTCCTTCCGACTTTTTTCTTAATCTGAAAATCTTTTAAAGGCAGAGGACTAACTCCTAAACGGAGATTAATGAAAAATGAAGCAGCCCAGGCTAGACATAAACTAAACCATGAAGCTATTCAAGCCAAATTGCAATTAGAAAGAGACCTAATTCTTAAAGAAGTCCAATATGAAGAAGATCTAAACAAAATGGAAACTGGAATTACTCAGACTAATTTAGATAATGCAAATAATAAATTTGACTTCTTAAATTCTTTCAAGCAAAAAGGCGAAGAACTATTAAAAGATAAAGTGAATGAAGTAAAAGAAAAGTTAAATTTGTCCAAAGAAAAAGATAAAAAAAGTTAATGGTTAATGGAATTTTAACTGCTACTTGCTTTAAATGTAAAAAAACCGGAGAATACTGAGACTTTAGAAGTCTAAAAGAGCCGGTAATTGTTAATGGTAAGGAATTGTATGGTGCTTTTACTTACACTAAATTTTTTTGTCCGATTAGTCAAAAAAAAGTTCGCGATAAAATGCTTGCAGAAACTGAAGAAAAATTTTTAATTGTAGATTGTATGAATGGAGATTTTTCTTACAAGGATGAAAAAGTTTCTTAATTAAAAAAATCAGATTGCTAAAGAGGGAGGTTCTAACCTAAAAGCAATCTGGTTACCTCCCACTAAAAAACTGTAAAATAATTTATAGTGGGTGTTTAAACACTAGAGGTTAGATAAAAACAGATTGCAAATTAATTTGATTATGAAAAAGCAATCTAAACCAGAAAAATTAACTTCTCCTAAAACTCCTAAATTCCCTTTACACTCTCCGACTACTCCTAATACTCCGGAGAAAGTGAACTCTTTAAATTTCTCACCTTTACCCAAGGAAGAAGATTTCGGAAATGTCCTAGATGAACTAATTAATAAAAATAAAGGCTATTCTAAAAAAATTTTAAATAAACTTTTAGAGGAAAAAGAAAGAGAAATTGAACGTTTAGAAGCCGAAAAAGCAGAATGATTAATCGAAAAACAAGCCTGAGAAAAGGAAAAGAATAAAATCCAACAAATTCAAACTCAATTAGATAGTCAAAACCAAGAAATTGACCGACTAAAAAGCGAAGTTAAAGAATGCGGTGATGATTACTATCAATTAGGTTTAGAAAAGGATAAATTGAAACAACTTTTACAGCAAGAAAGATCCGAAAAACAGGAATTGACCCAAAGATTAGAATCAGAAGTAAATGAAAACTGTCGTTTAAAAGAAAATCAAGAAAAGATTAATGCTAGTTTGCTGACTAAAGTAGAAGAGTTAACTAATTTAAAAAGGTTTAATCAGCAAGAGCGCGAAGAGTGACAAAAACTTATTTCTCAGCAAGCAGAGGAGTATGAGCAAGAAAATCAAGAACGAGAGCGAAGGCATTCTGAGCAAATGGATAACTTGCGCAAATTTCAAAGTCAAGAAGTAGTTAAACCTATTCCTAAAAGTCTATCACTTAAACAACAACATACTAAGTCTTACAGTTATAGTTCTCCTAGTTCAGTTCGAAGTTCTTATGTTATCGAAGGTGATTTGATGATTTTTACTTCCCCTCCCCTCCAAGCCGATTTCAGTAGCGAACTAAATCGCCAAGGTTATCAGGAAAGGAGCGGGATAATCAGTCCTGAATTCACTACCGAACCAAAAAGTGAGGAAAAGAAAAGGCGCTCTGATTCTCCTTTTTTTGTTAGTTCTCCTACTCAGGAAGAAGAAATCCGTATTGAAAATGCCTTAGCTGATTTAGAAAGCGAAGTTAGTTATCAGACTGAAAATGCTCAAGGAATGTTAGAAGAGAATGAACGATTAAAAGAGCAATTGGCTCAGTCCGAAGCCGCTTATCAAGTTTTATCTGATAATCAAATCGCTATTAAACAAGAAACTCAAACTGCCTTAACGGTCAATGAAGAGTTAATTAACCAAATTAATCAGCAAAGATTAGAAGGGGAGGTTCAGCAAAAATATTTACAACAAGAAATTGATGAACTAAAATATCGGTTAGCGGAAAGTCAGAAAAAAGTTTCAGACATTGAGAAATCAGAAAAAAAATTCCGTTATCAGTTGAAAGAAAAACAGCAAGAAGTTGAAGGGTTAAGCCAAGATTTAGTAAAGATTAGTCAAAGAGTTGATGAAGATGAAATTAGAGAAAACAATTTAGAGCAAGCAACCAATAAGTTAGAGCAATCTACCCAACGAGGTCAACGAGTCCTTGGCAAATTAAAAGCCCAAATCGAAATTATTACTAAAAAAAGTTAAAAAAAATTATGACAAGTAAAGAAGAAAAAATCGAAAATTTAAACAATAAAATAAATGCTCAAGAACAATTCATTAGCGAAATGGAAACTGAATTAGAAAGAGCGATTGAATTACTGGAAGAATTAAGAAAGGAAAGAGATTTATTAAAAGAGAAAAAAGAAAAATCTGATGAAGAAGGAGTTAAAATCGATAATAGTTTAACTAAAGCAGAAGATTCAGTAAATAAATTAGAAGCTCGAATGATCCAATTTCATCAAAAGTTAAAGAATTTTAAGTAAACAGTGTGGAAAATTTCTCGCAACGAATTGCTGAATTGGAAAGCAAGATTAATAACTTAGTTGGTTTGTTAGAGCAACTAGAAACTGAAACTGAAAATCTAGAAACCCAAAACCGCTCTGAGATTGGTGGCAAGGAAAAAGAATTAGAAGACTGGCAGTCCAAATTAGAGGCCTGCCAGAAGGAGAGAAATCAAATTAGAAAGGAAATCCAGGAAAAGGTGTCTGAATTAGAAGTCTCCCAACTCTCTAATTCGGAGAAGCAAGAAAAGATAAATAAACTCTTGACCGAACATAGTAATGAGTTGGAAGAAATAGATAAACTTCTTTATGATGAAAGAGCTCAGTATCGGAATATCCGAGATAAAGTTATTAATGAACTCTGTAGACCTTGTCGGGCTTGTAAAGAAAAGAATGTCATTCTTTTTAAAGTAAATCAAAAGGCTGATAATTTATTTATTACTATTTGGATTATGCTAGTTTTTTTCCTCGGCTTCCATATTTGATTTATTTGGTTTGCTTGAACCAAAAAAAAAAAAAAAAAAACAGGACATTCTTGTGTCAGTGTATAAATAATCATGGCAGAATTCAATAATAAAAAATGAAAAGATTATTATTCACCTTTAAAACCTTATTGTGTTAATTGTGAAAATAAAGGAATAAGTGGTGAAGAATATAGATTTTGCTCTACTGAAAAAAACCCTTTTCCTATTTTTGAAGAAGATGTTTGAGGTCGAAAAGGAAAACAAATCGGAACTTTTGAAGATATTTACCACTGTACTGTTTATCACTGAACTATTTTTCAGGGTCCAAAGTTTAAAAATTAATCTATATGAATATTAAAACCGAACCAAAAGAACCCCCCACCAATTTGAAAAAAGTTCTAGAAACTATCATCACAATTATTATAAGTATATTAATACTTATCCTTTTGATTTTGATGGTTAAATGATCATTTAAAAAATAACAAAAATTAAATTATGAATACCCTATCAAAATACTTACTCGAAAGATATCCCACTTCCGAAGAAAAACAAAAAGTTAAAGAAATCACTATCGCTAATCTGACCCAAAATTTAGAAGGCGGAGAATTAGATTTATCAGCTTTCACCAGCCTAGAAAAGTTAGAGATAGACCAAAATTTCTTAACTACCCCTTTAACTAAGATAAACACTAACGGACTAACTAATTTAAAAGAGTTAATTTTGCTAGAAAAGAAGATAGAAAGCGAAGCAGATAAAAAATTATACGAAGAATTAGGAATTAGTGAGGAGTGGGAAAAGAAAAAAGTAGTCCAAGAAATTCAGAAATTAGCCGAAAGCAAAGGAATTAAAATAAACTTTAAAGAAAAAACCGAAGACAGCATTTTTATCTCTCTAGACCAAAAAGATAAACAAAGTAACTTCTGCCCTAGTTTAGTTTTCTGAAACTTCACCCATGAACTTTCTGCTATAGATAATAAAGATAAAACCCCTGACTTTTGAAAGAAATTGGCGAAAGAATTAGAATGGACCAAGGATAATCTAAATGAAGACTATCAAAAGGATTTCGAAGCCTTATTAAACCCTTCTACTTTTCCTACTGAAAGACTGGAAATAAAAGAGTTATTAAGCATTTATTACTCTAACTCAGAAAATATTGCTGATAGCCAAGAAAATAAAGTTTCAGTAAGCAAAGAATTAGTAGATAAAGCCTGAAAAAATATCCAGACTGAAATTTTAGAGTTAGTTAGTCAAGAATTAAGTAAAAATTCGAGTGAAGAAGATAAACCTAAATTAGCCCTTAAACTCTGAATAGAAAATGGTGAAGAATATTTGATCAGTATTTCTTATCATTCTAGTGAAGAATTTAAAGCGAAAATTAATGAACTGATTACTACCACCCCTTTAAAATTAGAGGTTGAATATCTAAAGGGAAAGCAAGACCAATTGCCTACTGCTGAAAACTTTGATAAACTAACTAGACAAAAAGAACTGTTAGAAAATGAATTACAGAATTTAACCGATGAAGAAAACTATCAAAAAATTAAAGAAAAATTAAACCAAATCAAATAAATATGACTACTGAAAAAATTATTAAAAAAGACGCTCAAGAGTGAATAGAAAAAACCTATCCTAAACTAATTCAAAAAAATCTGAAAAAGTTAGATATTAGTAATCAGAATTTAGCCGGTAGTTTAGACCTAAGTTACTTTACTAAATTAGAAGAACTGAATTGCACTAATAATTCTTTAACTGGTTTAGTCTTATTCGACTGTCCTAATTTAAAGAGATTACAAGCGGATAAAGGAGTATCTATTTATGCTTTGAAAGGCACTAAAGACTTGTTAATGAATAATTTAAAAAAAGAGCAAAACCAGAAAAAGAAGCGTTATGCTTGTGTAGTCCCTCAAAACACACTCATTTGAAGTGATCTCCATCCTGATTTTACTTTGGAGTTAACTAAAAATTGACAAGATTTAGGTTTTACTAAGTCCCAAGTTCAAGAATGAATTAATGTGGGTTTTACTCCTCGAGATTATGAAGTTTGTGTTTGATTAAGAGATGTAGCCAAAAAGGATGCTGAATGAATCCTAAATAATGCTACCCTTCAAGGAGTAGAAAGAAACTTTTTACAGTGAAAACAAGCCCAATTAGAAGCCCATATTGAAATTTATTTGAAAGTTAAGTAAAACTTTCCAAGCCAGTATTGAAAAAGACTGAATTGAAGCGGCTAAGAAATTAAATAATGAGTGATTAAAAAAGGTCCAAATAGAGATACTTATCGCCGAAATTGAACTACAAATTGGAGATTATAAAACAAAAATACTTAAAGAAAATTTAAAGCAATGATGATAAAGTTAATAAAGTAAAACTGTTAAAATATAAATATATTATCTACTGTAATAAGGTTTTGGTAGGTGTGTAAGGTTCTATAAATCTCGGCATCTGCCTGAAGCCCCTCCTAACCTTAGCTTTATTAGAGTAGATTAATAGATGCCGAGTTTAACAATTTTAAACTAACTATTTTTCTACTCGGGATTAGCCACAGTCTCATTTATCTGTTAGTGGCACTTATTAAACGGAGTGGTGAAAGGGAATTTTTGTTTTTTTGATGAGGATTAGATTTTTCAGAGAGGGCAGTCACTGGTGACCCGCTAAAGAACAACATTTAAGCAATTCTTAAGAATTGTGTGACTGTTTCTTTTTGTCAATGCCCTCGCTCAATAAGCAATCCTTTCATTTCACTCCACCAAAAAGTTAATTTTTAAAAATTTAAAAAAAATAACTTCATCTTTATAATATTGTTTTAGAGGAGGAGGGAAATATTATATGATTAAATTTTTATGTTTTTATTATAAAAAACTTATATGAATCAAATTAAAGCCCAAGAATATTTAGAAAAAAACTGAACGGATAAATCTATTGAAGCAATTGGTTTAACTTGAATTGATGGAAAAGAAGTAAAATTTACTGGCGATTTAACTATCCAAGATTATCCTCAATTGAAAGTAATTAGTTTCTCTAATCACGAACTAACTTCTTTAACTATCATCAATTGCCCTAATCTAAAAGAAGTTAATGCTCGCCGTAATCAATTAACCAAATTAGAAATCCGAGGGGATAACCAAATTACTGAACTATTTGTCGGGCAGAACCAATTAGAAAGTTTAAATCTAACTAATTGTTCTAAACTGAAAAAACTAATAATCCCTGATAATCCTTTGCTAAGTAAATTAGAGGGATTAAACTTATCCGAAATTAAAGAAATGAATATTAATAATACCTTAGTAAACCTTGCTGAGGATTACGAAAAATTAAAAACGGAAAAACAAAAAGCAGTAGAAGATCTTAAAATTTTAAAAGAAGCAGCGGAAGAAAAAGGTTTTAGTCTAACCCAGGCTATTCAAAATAGTATTCAGGCTGATGAAGCTTTACAAAGTTTATGTAAAAAAACAGAAAAAGATTATCGGTGATGGTTAGATAATCCTGAGGATGCTTTGCCTAGTTTTCAGTTGCCTGAAAGCAGAAATAAAATCCAAGACTTTTTATTAGCCCTCATTCAAGCCCGAGTGAATAGTGATTATCAAACCTTTTTAGAACAGTGAAAATATGAAGATAATGATGATGAAATTTTTGCGGGAGTTTTGGTTAAGTTAGCCGAATTATTAAGGGCTAAGGATTATTTGAAAACTAAAGAGGTACAACCTTCAATAACTGCTTAAAAAATAGTTGATTTGGCTGAGGAAAAGGATAAGTTTGATTTTCTTATACTTCATATATGAATAGTTAAAAAATATGACCAACCAACCTTTTAATGTTGATGAATGATTAAACACCAAAAAAAAAGGTTTTAGTGGCAAAATCCCTCGCTCAGATTTTATCGAAAAGATAAAAGAACTAGCCTTAGAAATTGAAAACAAAACCCAACTTTTAACTAAACAAGAAACTAACAATAAGGAATTAGAAACAGAGTTGTCGGAGACCCAAACAAACTTAAAAACTTCGCAAACTGAATTAACTAATCGCGACCAAATTATTAAAGAAAGAAATGGCGAGATTAATAATTTAAAAACTAATCTTGACAGTTTTAACGAAAAAAATAACTCCTTATTAGAAAACATAAGCAAATTAGAAGAAAAAAACGAAGAGCAATACAAAACTATTGAAGACTTACAAAATCAAGCAAAAATCAAAGAGGAAGAACTACAAACTTTACAATCTAGACCAAATATTACCGAACAAAATTATCAAGAACTTTTAAATAACCAAGAAAAACATTCTGAAAAGGATTTAAAACCGACTAATTTACCAGATGATTGAGAACAACAATTGAGTGATAAACAAGAATTAAAAAGTAAAAATGAGCAAATGGAAAATCAACTCAAAGCCATTTACCCTACTTACCCAATCATTTTGGAAGAAGAAAAACCTGAGAATGTGAAAAAGTATATTAAAGAATTAGATGATAAAATACACGAATTAGAAAAACGACCCACTCCTGAGGAATTAGAAAAATCAATTCAAGAGGAAAAGCAAAGAGTTCACTCTGAGTTTTCTCAAAGAGAGAAATTAAAAGCAACTGTCCGGACTGAAACTGATTATCAAGAACTAAACCAGCAATTGGAGTGAGAAAAGGAAAAGAATAAGGTTTTAGAGGGAAAATTAAGTAATCTTCCCTCCCCCATATCCATAAATTATGAAGAACTAATAAAAAAGGTCGGAGAGTTAATTAATCCTTTAAAAACAGAAATTATTGAACTAAAAAAACAGTTAGTGAATAATTCTTTACCGGCAAGTTCCTCAAATTCCGAATTACCGACTGATTATGAAAAAATAAAAAAAAGTAAGGAAGAATTGCTAAGAATTTTAGGGATTTTAAGTTCAAAAATAGATTTATAATGGAAGAGCAAAGCAATGGAGAAAAAGGACCCAAAATATGAGAAATTACTGAAAAAGAAAAGGTAAGATATTATGATTAGTAAAAAAATCACTTAGGAGGGCGAAACTAAACATTCTGTTTATTTAAACGAAACTTCAGGTTCGAAATTAAGTTTAATTCCCATATTACGAAAACTTTTTTTTATTTCGTAAAAACGCATCTTGCAATCATGGCAACTATCAATTTCTTTTTGCCAAGTAGATAATCAGTATAGTGTCCTTCA